CTCCTCCCTCCTCCCTCCTTCTCCTCCTTCCTTCTCCCCCTCCTCCTCCTCCTCCTCCTCCCCTCCTCCTCCTCCTCCTCTCCTCCCTCCTCCTCCTCCTCCTCCTCCCTCCTCCTCCTCCTCCTCCTCCTCCTCCTCCTCCTCCCTCCTCCGACGACGACGACGACGACGACGACGACGACGACAACGGCGGCGGCGACGACAACGATCTGCGTTCTCACTCCCGCAGTTTTTCCCCGCTTTCGGCGTCGGGGCCCGCCAGCGGGCCGCGGGTGCCCCAAAGACGCACCCGGAGCGAGATGCTGGCCCCTTAGGGGGGGGTCGGACCTCTGGGGTCAGAACACTTCCGTGCTGGGGGCGCACTGCCAGGAACGCGTGGGCTCTTCTGGCCACGGCGGGCCTGCGCAACAGACGCGGCTCCACGACGGACATCTCGGGAGCGGCCCGCAAGCGGGAGCCGCCCCCTGAGCTCAAAGCGGTGCTCACTTCAGCGTCCTTGCTGCGTGCCTTCTGGTGTTTTTTTTTTTTTTTTTTTTTGTTTCGAACGCGGTCGAACGCGGGGAGGCCCCACCTTGCTTCGGCGCGCCCCGCCTTTAGCCCGACGGGCGCCTGACCTAGGGGGACCCAAAGGTAGCGATACCGCAACTCCGCGGACCTCTCCCAGGGTGCGTTCTGACCAGAATCTCGAGGCGAATGCAGCGGTGGCGGCGAGGGCAAACGAGGAAAGGCAACCGACCGTGTACCAGAACAGCTCGATGTGTACTTCCGCGCGCGCGCGCTGGCACGCGCGACGGCGAGCATTGAGCTGTTCGGGTACACGCGTGGGTGAACAGGGGGATGCCCGGGCAGGCGACCTTCCCCTGCGCCCCCCGGGTCGCAGGGAGGAGGAGGTGGAGGAGGAGGAGGAGGACGAAGGAGGAGGAGGAGGAGGAGGAGAAGGAGGAGGAGGGAGGAGGGAGGAGGGAGGAGCGAGGAGGGAGGAGGGAGGAGGGAAGAGGGAGGAGGGACGAGGGAGGAGGAGGAGGAGGAGGAGGAGGAGGAGGAGGAGGATACGATACGATACGCACACCCCTCACGCCATGTTGTCTGATTGTCCTGTGAGTACTGTACTCACTGAGCTTCAAAATCGCGCAGCAGTGGGCCCTGATACAGTCAAGACTGACTGGAGGCTGAATGACGCGGTGAACCTTCCCTCTGGAATGGGTGCCTATGCCAGGCTCTAAGCACCAGGGCCGCAGACGTGGCCCCGCCTTGGGGCCGTCCTGGCCCCTGCAGCCACCGACGCATAAGGTAGCCACAAGAGACTGGGGCAAAATTATTCAGGGTTGACCGTTTCTTTGCAATGTCAAGAATATTTCGACTGCTGGCAAGACTGGCAAACCTCTGAGACCCTGGGTAGTTCCCTCGAGAGGCCAGACATTCAGAAATTATTTGCTTGTCAGTTCACAGAGGTCGGGGGGGGGAGGGGGAGGAAGGCTCCGAGGCTCGAGAGGGGCCAGCGAAGGAGGAGAACAAACAGAGGGCACAGAGTGGCTCACGGGCCTAGTTGAAGAAGTGGACGAGCTGGTTCTAATCGATGTCGGCGGAGGTCGGAAAGCAGACGTCGGTTGATACTCGTCCAAATCGATATATGCAACAGGTTCGGGAATTCGAGATTCAGGTCCAGAGCGCAGCCCAATCTCCTCTA